CTCACTCACAGGATATCTCCCGGGCATTTTAGATGCCAGTTTGTGCACCTCTCTCCACGAGATCGTGAGGGGTTCAAGGGCAGCGACTGCCTTCCTGAGAGCCGCCATTCATTGATGCTGCCATGTACTCACTGATCTTGTCTCATTCTTAGCCATCCTCTGAGACGGGTATCATTATGCTTGTTTTACAGATGAGGTAAGAGACGCACGCGGAGGTTAAATAACGTTCTCAAGGTTTCAATAAGTAAGTGGCCAAACCAGGAACTGAACATGGGAGCACCGGATTCCAAGGCTCCAACTCTGTTCCCTTCGTCAGAACCAGCCCCAGTGCCCACAGCTTAGCTGCTGGGACAGACGGGAAAATAGCCCCGGACCATGAGCTCAGAGAGCTAGGACAGGTCTACACGAAGTTCTTGGGGGGATCATAAGGAAGGGAAGGAATCACTCTTTCTGGGGAGGTGCGGTCGGAAAGGCTCCATGAAGTTGCCAGAAAGCTTGGGACCTTGTAAATTGGTTCCATAATAATGATTCAAGGTGGAAAACAGATCCCGGCATCCAATCCTGGGGGTTTGGTTTTGGGGGCCACAGCAGCTATTGCTGAGGTCACCGGTGCTTCCGTATTGGTCCAACACCGTGCTTAAAATTTAGCCCAAATGCCCACCTGAGCCTGTGGGCATAAGTCAGGACTGATGCCCAGGCAACTCACTCAACAATCGCTTCATTAAAATTGTGTGTTTGTGTGTGCGTATAATCTACCGTACATAAGCATCAATTTAGTCTTACACACTATACTTTAAATTTCAATGAGATCAGCATGTTTTCGAGCCCATCGCTGTGTGGAATAGGGTACTACTAACTCCTAATTATGGTTCACCTTCTCTTCCTGCTCCTGTCCCGTCACAAGCAGTCTGAGGCTGGTCTCTCTATATTCCCCCCTTCAGGGAATTCACCTACATTCTAGGCTTGAACTGCTGTACAATGCCTATAAAATTAATCTTAAAACTACGGGCAAAGCATGGCTTTGAAATGCATGGCACAATACCTTCTTTGTCCGCTCCGGAGGCTGTTTGTGAGGAGGCACCGTGGGCGGCCGGATACCGACGTCTTTGGGACTCTGGCAGCAGGCAATGGGGAAACTTCCACACCGCTCCATGTCCTAGCCGTGTGGCCTCGGGCAAGTTACTCAGCCTCCTTCCAGCCTACATCCCTGATCCACAAAAGAGGGAAAATAATAATATCCTAGCAAGAGGAGTATTGTGAGGACTAATGAAATAATTCGAAAGCATGTAGTTGTGACTGACTTGCTTGAAGTTGCTAGCAAGCGCTCGTTGCGGTAATAATTATCATTACTGTCATCTTTGGCAATCTAGGCGACAGTGATTCGCAAGCTTTGAAGTGCCTTGAAGATGTGAAATAGTGTTATTATTGTGCACACTGTCGAGTGACAGCCAAAGGGCTTGGTAGAAAGAGACGTGGACAGGAAAGCAGGAACGCTGGGTCCTTAATGGTGCTCCTGCCACTTAGTCCCAGTGTGACCTTGGGCCAGGCTCTCCGTCAGCCTCCACTGTCTGCTTGTGAAGGAAGCGGTTTGATTGGATTATCTTTTGGACATATCTGTGGGAAATACTTTTGTATGTTCCGCATAGTTCAGTAAGGTGCTTCCACTGTTCTGTATTGTCTGTCTATCACTCTGTGAACACGTAGCTGTTTGTGTGTTCTGCTCTGGGCTGCTTCTCCGCCCTCAGCCCATCCAGCAGGTCCTGGATGTCAAACATTATCTCTTCATGCGAGCTGTACCAGGAGGAAGAGTCATCTGTCACTCTTTCACTTGCGAAAGGGTCCTCAGACTGGTTTGCAGGGCAGTTATTGATTCTTTCTCTTTCTTCCCAGAAGACTGATGGGTTCAGATTTAGCTGCTTGGTCTTCTTCTTCAGGACTCACATTTTATATTCTTTCTGTCCGTTTTTCCACCTTTGCCCCCAATAAAACAAAATAACCAGAAATGATAACAAAAACTAGACATGATGGCATGGTGGCAGCGCTTTGAGGGAGAGGCTACATACTTTTTTTGCTACTACATCAACTACTATTACATGCTTTGCCACTTACCTTTGAAGCTCTTTGGAAATGTGCAAGCTATTTTGCATAGGCTGGTAAGTGTTTAAAATCACCTCAATTACCTGAGATACTTTCATCTCCCTCTAAGGTTCTTCTTAAAGGGACTTTTACTATGGTCTTCAGACATTGTGACAAATGTAGAGTGCAGTATTGATAGAGCTTTCCAAACTCACTGATTCTCATATTTCCTGAGAATGATAAGGACATTCCGAAGACCACAATAGAAAAAATTTTCATAAAAATACTTAATCAGCCCTGGCTGGTGTGGCTCAGTGGTTGGACACTGGCCTGTGAATCAGGGGTTGCTGGTTCAATTCCCAGTCTCGGGCACATGCCTGGGTTGCAGTCCAGGTCCCCAGTAGGGGGTGTGCAAGAGGCAACCACACATTCATATTTCTGTCACTCTTTCTCCCTTCCCTTCTCTAAAAAATAAAATAAAATCTTACAAAAAACTTAGTAGCCCTGGCTGGCGTAGCTCAGTGGATTGAGCGCGGGCTGTGAACCAAAGTGTCGCAGGTTTGATTCCCAGTCAGGGCACATGCCTGGGTTGCAGGCCACAGCCCCCAGCAACCCCACATTGATGTTTCTCTCTCTCTCTCTTTCTCCCTCCCTTCCTTCTCTAAAAATAAATAAATAAAATCTTTAAAAAAACTTAATAAAAAATAAAAGACTCAGTGCTTCAAGATACTTCCAGTTGTCTGGAAGATAACCCAGGACTCATTCAACAATTCGTTGGAGAAACATGTATTAAATTCCTGAAAGTGCTACATTGTGCAAAGTCCTGCAAACACAGGGAGACTGAGAAGTGGTTGCTGCTTTCAAGAAGCTCCATTAAAAACTGCTTGCTTTATATCTTGTGTAAGTACCTAATATTTTACAAAACATTTTCCACATGTAACAACCCATTTGACCCTCCATACAGTCAATCCTGGTTTCACCCTTCATAAACTTGAGATTTCTCATTGTTCACTGCTATTTGGCAAGCAGAGTATTCATTTTGAGGATGGCAGTGTTAGTGTTTCTCCACCATTGCTGGTTCGATTTTACATGGCTAATGACTAAGAGTTTGCGGAGGGTCTGATTGAAAATAATCGTTCGTGAATCTTCTCACCTTCTAGGCCCTGTTCCTCGCAGGTGTGAGTTTCCTCCAGAGAGGGACAGGGGCTAAACTGCTTTCTCACATTCCCTGGGAGTGCTCTTCGGATAACGGCAGGGACCTAGTCCTTGGGTTTCTTTCCCACCAGAGCCCGTGGGCTGTAACCTCAGAAGTTCATTTCTCCTTCATGTTTGCTCTCTCGTTTTCCTTTATTCCAGCTCATTGGCTATCTGGCACTATTGTTTCCATCAAAAAAATAGAAACAGCATTTAGTGACTTGGGGATAATCCTGCCCAACCCTTTCACTTTATAGAGGGGGAAACTGGGGCCCACAGCCCTCAGGTGTCAATGCCAAAGCCACACAAATAGATGGGAGAGCTGGACTTGAACCTGAGAGGCTATATCTAAGACCAGATGTCTTAGAAAGACATCATTCTACTTCTAAAACTACCTGCCAGATGAAACATACTCCCCAGGATAATATGTACTTCCCTTCTACTGCCGGTGTATGTATATTTAGAAAGGTACAGGTAATGCTCCTGGGAGGAGGGTGCGTTGGGGAGGGGCGGAGCGGAGACGGGGATGGGGAAGGCCCTGCAGGCCCTGCTCTAGAGGGAGAGTGCTCTGGGCCCTCCTTCCCAAGGGCTTTAAAAGTGGGGGTTTTAGGGGAGGTCCCAATCCAGGTGCGGCCTTTCAGGGCCGTGGTCTGCACTGATTGGCCCGCACCAGGGCAGGGGGTCATTAGTCATTGCAGCCGCTCCTGCTGTCTGCCCTGTCATCCCTGTCTGGTTTTGCTGTTTTTCTGGGCCTGGAGCTGAAACACCACGGAGTCCTAGGCGTTATCTATCCCCAGGGGTTAATGCTTAAGGGAGCTGTTGGGCGGGCCCTTAAGGGAGCTGTCGGGCGAGGGCCCGCATGGCAGTCACGTAGGCCACTCTTCCATCCCTCTTCTCCTCCAAGGGGCCCTGTTGCAGGACTGGCACTGTTCTGGGGAGGAAAGGTCGGGGGAGGGCCGAAACCGCATGACCAGCCTCAGCCTTGGGGGTTTTGCCTGTTGCTAGGCACCCAGGGCTTTCCACTGGTGACCTTCCGCACCCAGCCCAGGGTCCTGGCCTCTGCTCATGTCTAACTGCCTACCACAGTCTGGGTACTGTTGCAGCAGCGGTCCACCCAGTTTTATAATATGTCACGGGTTACACTGTGATGTCTTCTGTTTTCCCAGAGTGTACACCTTCCCCTGGGAATGATGCTATTGGCACCCACATGTGCCAGGCATAATGCAGGCATGGGCACTATGGACACGCCCAGGATTTGGTACGACTTGAATTGGAAACACTCCTTGGATTTGTGTAGGATCATTCCACACTGGATTACCAGTAACCGCATGGTTTTCATGTAAACGATCGTGTACGTGCAGAGAATGTGGTGACAACAGTTGAACTCTACGGACGCGCTGAATGCGGACTTGAAAGCCTTTGCCTGTGCCTTCGGGATTTCGCACGGGCGCAGGACCCAAGAACCGCTCCTCAAATGCCACCAAGTGTGGTTTTAAAAGTGTCCCAAACTTGCTACAAAAATGCCAACATGTGGGATTTTCTTTCACACGTTTTCTTTCCTTTCCAGGGGGCTCCACCTCCGGGAACCAGCCGGAGGAAGGGACGGGCACCCTGCGGGCCGGCCGGCCCAGGGTGCAATCCTCGCCTCCGCCAACGCCAGCCCGGGCGGGGGGCCTGTCCCCAGACGCCGGTCCCTCTTCCGCTTCCAGGGGCACAGCAGGGGCGGGGCCGGCGCCTTCCGCTTTTCCTGACCCGCCGGGACCCTCGCGCAAGTCTCTGCGCGGGGTCATGGCGGCGGCGGCGTTCTGGGGACGGTGCTTCTCTCCCGTGCGGCTCTGCAGGTGTGACCCCGACTCCTCCCTGAGCCTCAAAACGCAGCAGCTGCGTGGGTCGCCCCGAGTAACCCGGTCCCTGTCCCGTGTTGCAGGAGGGCCTGGCGAGGCAGCAACCGCCACTACCGTGCCGCGCGGTGCAACGAGTTGCAGCAGCCCCTGGTCATTGAGGAGCTCGCCCCCCGCCCTGTCCTGCCCCACGAGGTAGGGTGACGGGCCTCTCCCCGGGGCCCCTTGCACTTCCCCCTCCTCCCCCGCGCCTCCGCCGCAGGTTCAGTTCTGGATCGGATTCCCAAGCGCTCAGCTAGGGGGCGAACCGGACACCTGAGCGCAACTTCGTCCTGGGCTGTATGGGCCCCGTCACGGTTCGCCTAAAACAGACAAAAAACGGCTAAAGAAAGATTGTCCCCCAACACCGCAAAGGGAGGCCTCTTTCCGAAGTGCCCAGAGCTGTTGCCTTAGAAACAGAGAATTCTGATTTGCACACAATTTTGCATAACTACCTGCAAGATACTGATTGAACACGGATTAATGGACCCTGTCCTTTGTCCTTTGCTTCCTCTTCGGTGGTGTCGGCATCTAATTATCCGCCCGCCCTCCTTCCTCCCGCAAACCAGCCTGGGGACCATATTCCCTACGAATAAGTGCCTGGGGCTCTCCTCTGCTGTTCTGCAGCCACTGGGGATCGAGGGGTGCGGACAGTTCCAGTGAAGTGTGGAGGTCACTCTGGCTTGTGGGTTAACCACTCTGGTGACACAGCCTCGGCTGGCAGGGCCCATGAGAACGTCCGACAGGGTGCAGCAGGCAGCTAACCTCAGGGTGGGGGACCCCTGGTGGGAGAGGGTAATGTGGCTGCTGCCCTGAAGTGCCCCCAACAGGGACCCTGTGGCTACATGGATTATTTCCCTGACCACAGGATGGCAGCCATTGGGCTTCCCGGGGCTCAGGTGCTCAGAGATGTTCGTCCTCCAATCATCCTTGAATCATCCTCGCATCAGGGTGGAGTGGCTGGAGGTCGTGCGTGTGCCGTACACGCTCACAACTAGTGTGTCCCATACAGAATGTGCTCGGGCTGAAGGCTGGACTCCTTTTTTCTGTGTTTTGCCCAGACACTGCCTTGTCAGGGGTTAGCTTGTGAGAGCTGGGACTACGTGAGTTTCCCTACCATGAAATAAATCCCCCTAATCTGGAATGGTGCCTGGCACGTGGCAGATGCTTAAAACATTGTTGAGTGAATGCAATTTGTCGATAAAATATGTCTCCTCACCAATACAGCCACCTCAGTGCGGTGCTGGAAATTGCAAGGAAACAGATAAATGAACGTTACCGACTCGGTCCCTCGGCCTTCCTTTCCTTCCCTGTGGTTCCTAGCCCCGTCCAGACGGGTGGGTCCGTGGCAATAGCACTTTCGCTTCAGCCTGCCTGTCACAGCCACCGTGGGCTTGTTAGGACACTTTGCTGGGCTGTGTCCCCAGAGTTTCTGATCTAGTCGGTAGGGGAGGAGTGGAGCTGAGAATGTGAAATTGTAACAAGTTCCCAGGTGATGGTAATGCCGGCGGTCTGGGACCACATGGAGAAGGACTGGCTTGCAGGGTCGGGAAACTGCTGGCTGCGCCGCCCCGGGCCTGCCTCAGCTCTAGAGTTGCCAGAAAACACAGCAGCTGGTGATCTAGGTAGGACTAGCCTCCAGGGTGATTCCTGAGTCCCAAGGCAGCCGGCCATGTTACTGTCCTGCTTAAAATCCTTTCATGGCTTCCCCGTACCCCCGCTATGGAGACTGCGATGCTCAGTAAAGCCTGCCGACCCTTGGATGGCGTGGGCCCTTCTCTCTAACCCCATCTGCTTGTCGTCTTCGTGCTCCAGGTCTGCTGGGTGTTCTTTTGTCCCCCCACAGGGCCTTTGCACATGCCATCGCTTTGGGCGGTGCCAGGCTTCTCCGCCTGCTTTGAATAGTTAACTCCTCACTGTTCTTAGTTCAAGTGTTATTTTCTCAAGGATTCCTCCTGCCTCCCCCAGAAGGTCCAGTCCCTCCATTATATGCTTTCATGGCATTTCTATCTTTATTTTTAACATCTTGTGGAGGAGGTGTACGCATTAGTTAACGCAGTAGTCCTCACAGTTATTGGTTGATGTCTGTCTTTTCGACTGTTCTTTGTGCTCCACGGAGGCAGGAAACTTGTCCGTTGGGCCTCATGCTTGTGCAGTGGGACCTAGTTCAGTACCTGGCATACAGCAGGGACTAGTAAATATTTTGGTGCAATTGAGTGATCGTCTCCACAGATATGTACGGCTCTGCTCTATTTCCTTTCCAGGTCAGGGTCGATGTCCATTTCTGCGGACTGAACTTTGCTGATATTTTGGTTTGCCGTGGCCAGTATCAGAAAAAGCCCCCTCTTCCCTTCACACCTGGTGAGTATGAGGGGCCGAGTGACGGCTGCAGGAGGAGAAAGCACAATCTTCAGAACCGTGTGCTTCCTCTCAGACTCTACCCTGGCGGTGCTTGCCCGCTGTCAGGGGCATCTCAGCCACGCCCGCCGCACTGCCGGTGGGAAACCCTAGACTGTGGACCCCTTGAGGGAAGTGCCTATGACTGCCTTACCCTCCTTCTATCGCCCAAGTTAGCATTGCAACTGACTTGTGGTAGCAGCTCAGTACATCCTTAGAGAAGGAATAGATGAATAAATGAATGCTCGCACATTGTTATGTCCATCAGAATTCTGACCCCAGGCATCACTGGTACTGATCATTTCCTTTTATTCCTTGACGTGGCCTCAGTTTCGTTTTTTGCCTGAAGCATCACAACCTTCTGTTTGCAGCTGAAACTCTTCGTCTTCACGGGCACATTCCCAAAGAAACCTAAAACCTAAGGGTCTGGAAGAAGTAGAAGAGTTGATACATTGCTAGCAGCCCACTGTCTGATCTTCATTATGCTCAGTCGGATTACATTTAGATCCTGAATATGTGGGCAGATAGCTGATCCTCGTGGTTGAAATGTACTGAAACAGGTATAAGTGCAGCTCAGCATGTGTAGGGTGCATGTGCATGCTATACAGACATGTGTATTATTAGGGATATAATACTGTGGCTGTGTTTTGGCCTTCGGTTATTTGGTTGCCTCCACAGTTGGAAGCCTTTCCCCGTGTTTGTTTTGCTGAAACGCTGGATGGGGGAAGATGGCACGCTCGATTGAGTTCTTCCTCTGGCAGCTCAAGTGGGAAATATACGATGATTAAATTCAGAAATTTTGGAGGCGGAAGAGGGAAGGGCGGACAGCTCCAGTTCAACCATTTGAGCCAAGTACTGTATGAATAAATAAAGGTCACGTCCCGAGGACCTTGCAGTCCGGAAGAGGAGATGCGGCAACAGATAAACACAATATGGTGGACATCGTAACTGGGGTGCTGTGGGAGCCCAAGCCCCCAGTGATCGGGGTCGATCCTGTGATTCTCTGTGCTGTTGCCCATTCTTGAAATTTTTATTTGTGTCTTGGTAAGAATGGGGCTACTCTAGCTCTTCAGTGGAAGATGTTAAGTTCACTTTCCTGTGCTTTGGGTACGAACTCTGACCCCTCTTCCCTGGGTGGGCGGGAGGTGCTTCAACCATCTCCGTTTCAGAAGTTTAGTAGGATGGCCGGTGGGTCTGCATTTCCTCACCTCCATGGTGCTGGGCTTCACGGACAACCTAACCTCGAGACCCTTGTTTTAGGAATGGAGTTTGCTGGGATAGTCCTGGAGACCGGCGCAGATGTCAGCACGGTGAAAGAGGTAAGCTCCGAGTCTAGGGACCCATGGGTGCGCAGCTCTGAGACATGTGTAACTCAACCCATGTGTCGCCCACGGGTCTCGGCGCCTCCTGGCCTTTGCCAGCAGATACCGAAGGGGGGCTGGGATGGAGGGGAAGAGATGAATGCTGAATCGGGGGAAGGCAGGCAGCTGAAGTGCCTGGCTTCCTTTAACGTTCATTACTAATAAAAGGCAGCACTGCTTCAGTTGCTAAGAGGTCTTGAGTTGCTAAGAGGATAGAAAATTCCCCAGTGTCAGCCTCTTGTGCGAGAAATTAACACCGGGATTCTAATGCCTATCCAAATTCATCTTCTAATTGATGCCCGTATTATCGTCCAAAATGTGCTCAGATTGGATTGGCAACCTGGTGGGGGCATCGAGGAAAAAAGGCTGCATTATTTACTGAAAAGTAACTCTGAATAGATCATTAGGGCCAACCTGGGGGTGGAGGGGGCGGGTGTGCTGGCGGGTCTTAATGAAATCAGAAACAGAGATGCATTGGAACCGACCCTTAATGATATTTTCCCTTCAGGGAGACCGCGTTGTTGGCATGGGCAGCTTTAATAATATGGCGGAACAGTGTATCATGGACCAGAAGGTATCCCCACCTCCCGATGTTTCTTTCCTTTAATTTCCACCTATCCTTCGTTTCTCATCCTCCTGCCCCCCCCCCGCCACTGCCCCTTTCCCTCTGTATTCATCTGGTCATATCTTGTTTCTCAGCCAACCGCTTCTTTCTTTCAAATGCTAAACCCCTTTTCTATATCGGGGTAACAACCTTTGCACAGAACTTTGTGCAGAGTGGTTTAATGAAGAAGCATTTTGTTTTCTGAGTCCTGGAGCAACTGGCTGGCGGTCCAATGGGATCCCAGTGAGGTAGTTTTGGTACAAAAACTGGTTTGGGGCACGGAGCTGGTTGTCATGGGTTTCTCTCCCGCACGAAGCTTGCGAGAGAGGTATCCCTGGGAATGGAGCTCGGATCCTTTTGGGCAGGATGTGAATGGTGCCCCCTAGTGGAGAACAGTGTATACTTTTCTCACTGTTTCTTCAAGATAAGATTGACGTAACATCCAGTTCACCCATTACACAGTACACCGGTCAGTGTTCCTTCTCCATTAGTTAGTTGGTTCCTTCCCGAGCAGATGCAGCCTTAGGGTTTTTGAAGACTGACGCACCCAGGACTTGAACTCCGTCACGGGTTGCTGGGTCTTGGCTTCTGCTAGGCTTGGGTCCTGACCTGGGTGTCCCTTTGCAAGTCAGTCACTCAATCAAATCGTGCTACTTACTGAACAGCCTTTATGAACAGGTACGCGCGCCCAATCCCTTTGTCACTGTTATCTCTTTATAGACGCTGTGGAAGGTTCCGGAAAGGGTGTCCCTCCGAGACGCTGCGATCCTGCCCATAACTTACAACACTGCCTTCATGGCCCTGGAGCGCCGGGCGCGCACCCAGCCTGGGTGAGGGCTGGGCAGCCTGGGTGAGGGCTGGGCGGGTGGGACCCTTCTCCGATGCCAGAAGTGCCAGGCCTTGCCCCTTCCTTTCCCTCGCCCGGCCTTTAGCTCCCGTTCGGTCTGTCTAAGGAAGGGCCAGAGGATGATGGTAGGGACCCGAGATTGGGGTCTGGGGACAGTGAGGCTGTCCTCGGGTCGGAGAGGGAATGATAGATGGTGAACTTGGCCAGTAAGAATTTGGAGAAAAATCCTTCGGAAACCCGAGCACTCTGGATAGCTCCTCCAGGAAAACCTGGACGTCCAGAGAGCTGGCCTGTTTAAACTGGCTCCCCTCTGGTTCCAAGGGAGGCCTGCGGTCTTTGTTTCTGAGAGACTTGGTCGGGCAGACCTAACCGGGATGTTTCACACTCAGAGGTGCCGGAGTTCCCCGCTCCCCTGGGCTAGACCTGCCTACCGCCGTCCTTGCTCTGCAGAGAGCTCCGGCATCGCTCTCACAGATGGTTTTCATTGAGCCATGGCTGGGACGCGACCCCCACCTTGGAGAACCCGGCAGTGCTGAGTGTGAGAATGATTTAGCACGGAATTTCCGAAGCAGAAACGAAGTGGTAGCTCCAAGGGCGAGGCTGCCTGCAGACAGTGAGGAATGTTTTTTCCCGGGAAGTTGTCAAAGCTGGACCCGGTTAGCCCCCGACGTAGCCGGCGCCCAGCCCTGGAGCCCGGAGCACGGCCGTCCATAAGGGGTTTCATGACGTGGCCTCCAAGTTCTCTTCTTGCTTTAAAGGGCCCTGGCTTCACACTGTTCATGAGATCGCCTTGCGGGATGGTTTCTGGCTTCTGAAGCGAGGCTCGTCTCCCTCTCTCTCTCTCTCTCTCGTGCAGGGAGACCGTGTTGGTGACAGCAGCAGCCGGAGCGACAGGCCTCGCAGTGATAGATGTGGCAACCAACGTCCTTCAGGCCAAGGTGCGTGTACGCGAGATGCTCCACTTTTGATGTGCCACAAAACGTGGTTTTCAGGCGTGGACCATGTTCGTGCGTTTGGTAATACCCCCCTGGGGATGCAAAGCCGCCTAGAGTGGTGTCTTGCCAGCCATTTGCTGGCGGGCCAGTGAGGGGACCTAGGAGTAAGTCACTGGTCCCTCCTGTTACTGGCACCTGCAGGGTCGGACTTATTTGCAGCTTCTGCAGGTGCTGTCCCCTCCCCCTGTGAGGCTGGACCCAACCCGCACTCCTCACCAGCACTTCAAATTGAAACGCAGGTGCCACGTTTTAGGGGAGTGTTCTTTGTCCCTCCGGAGATGTTAACCGCCTCCCCCCACTATTTGTGTGTGGTCTCAGGGCATCCTGTCCTTCTCACTCACAGTGCACACCTCACACACCTCCGTGTGCACGCAACCTTGTACCTGCGCCATCACTGGAGTCATGTCTCCCTCCCCCTGGGCTGGTCCATTACTGCAGTTCCGTGCCGGGCGTGGTGCCTCGGTCACTGCGGGTACCCAGTAGCTGTTCCTTGAGTGAACGAATAAACAAATGAAAGAAAGTGGGTATCAAATGAGAGAAAGAGGGTTTCTTGGAGAAGGTGAACATCGAAGCTGAGGTTTTGAAGGACGGGTAGCAGCAGAGTAGAGGAAGAAGAGAAGCGAAGGCCACTTTAGCGGTAGGAGGACCTGTCAGAAGACGGAGAAATAGGAACCAACCAGCCGCATCCAGCGAGTTGCCAATATAGCCTCTGGAGCAGAGGCTCCGCGTGGGGACCAGCGGAAAAGGGCTGGAGAGAGCTGGGCAGGGGTAAGGTCGGGAGGTGCTGGAGAGTTTGAACGTGTGCTAGAAGCTTGTGAGGGTGTTAAATAGCGAAGTGGCGTGACCGTCTTTGACTCTGCAAAGGTCGCTTCGGTGGCAGTGGGGATGAGGGATGGGGCAAGGCCGGGGTGGTCCGTAGGCGGGCGGCAGGGCTGACTCTGGGAGCGACCCCAGCCGGAGGTGACGGTACTTGAACCAGAACAGTGGAGGTGTGACTTGAGAGACGCTAAAGTGGAAGAAAGTGGGGAATTGGGCCACTGGAGAGCGTCCTCATGTAGCTGAAAGAACAAGACTTTGAAGGCAGCCTCACGTAGGATCAAATTCCAGCTCCCCCTGGAGCTTAATCTCTCAGGTTTCTTCACGGGTAAAACGTTCTCCTTACAGGGTTGTGGGGGGGCTACTGAAAGTGCACACGCCAAACGCCCGTTAGAGGGCATGTCTGTGTCTGTAAGAATCTCTTAGAAAGCGATCCTGTTCCTGTCAGACATTGAGTGGGAAGGCGCAAACTAGGTGGACTTGGGGGGTTGCTGTTTATTGGGATGAGAACTTGGGGGGACATGGCGAGTTCAGTTTCGGACATCGGCGAGCGTGAGGCTCCCACGGAGCCGGCGATCTGGGGATCCAGGAGGTGTCAGGACCGACAGGCTGGGAGATAATTGCGCTGGTCTGGGGCTCCTGCAGGGGGCCCCTCTCCTTCTCGCAGGAAGCTCCTTTGGGAAGGACACGTGTGTTCCGAAAGCAGTCCTGGACACCAGGAGGCTCTTCGCGAAAATGAACACATTTCATGTCAGAAACAAGAGATTTAGCACTTCTCTCAGCGGGGAGACCGCACTCAGCTCTCACTGTCCAGAACCACGGACTGGCTAGCATTTCTGGGACACCGTACCATTCATTTTGAGCAATCACGGGAGGTTAAGTAGCGAGGAAAATGCACTCTGATTCAGGGGTGGACATTCATCGAAGCAGTGTTTTCTTCAGCAGCAATAATGGTTGTATGCACAAGCAAACAAAAATAAAAACAGGCCACCGCGCCCTCTACTCAGAGCAGGCTGTCTCGCTGACGCCCTCCATGCACGGCGGCAGCGTTTTTCGTGCGTTCACGGCGCCTCCCCCGCTACCGCCTAGCCCGTGGTCCCCTCCAAACCCCCGGGAGGTGGGCAATGGTGGGCGTTTGTTCTCCCCACTTCACAGGTGAGGAAAGCGCGGCACCAGGAGAGAAGGTGACTCACGGCGGGTCTCACCGGGACCTGGTGAAGAGCCGTCTGGTCTCACGCTGGCCCTGGCCATGCGTTGCCCACCGTGGCCCCGAGGGCCTGCGGGCAGCCCCGTGACCGGCAGCTGCTTGAGGGTGGCTTTCGGTTTCACATGGTTGTGGGTGAGCTGGGAGTCTTTTCAGGGCACGGGTGCTCTGGGACGTTTGCGTGCAAGTTCCAAGTGTCACCGCAGGGCCAAAGTGCCTGGGCTGCTGGGTACTGCCCGGTGGTCAGGCGCCTCTAGGCCATGCTTGAGTACTTGAAACTTTTCTGGAAACTTCCCAACCCCAGACCTGCTCACGGTGTGCCCCGCAGCCACTGATGCCGTGTGTGCCAGGCCCGAGGCAAGGCCCGGGGTTCAGTCCTGGTTGGGGGGGTGGAGGAGCGCGGGCTTTGGGGTCGGGCAGCGTCGGGTTTGAATGCGTGTGCTCCCCCCTGCTCCCCGGACGATCCTGGGTTAAACCTCTCGGGGTTTCTGTCTCCTTCTAGAGAATGGAAGTAATTATCCCTCCCCGCAGTGTTCTTACAAGGTTTACATGGAATGAGTGATTGCATATGTGTAACAGTGGATTCAGTTTACCTAACAGTTTGTTTTGCAAATGCTTTACATACGGCAGTATTCCACTGGATTCTTAAATCTTATTTCATGGACGCGGCAAGTGGTGCTTAGAGAAGTAGGCAGGCAGGATAGAGAGGTTAAAAGCGTGAACTCTGGAGACGGGTTACCTGGGTTTCGTTTTCAGTTCAGCCTCCCGTTAGCTGGGTGACCATGGGCAAGTTAAGTTCTTTTGCCTCAGTGTTTTTTGTCTCTAAAATGGGGATAAGGATAGTCTGCATATCGAACTGTTGATGTATATTCAATAGAAAGCATTTAGACGAGTGCCTGGCACATGGTAATTACTTTGTAGGTGTTAGTTCTTTCTAAGGAATTGGCTTAGGTGACCCAACTGGTTAGGAGCAGGGCCCAGGATTTGAACGTAGATCTCTTCGACTTCAAGGTCTTTCCATTGAATCATGTGTACCCTCTGGCAGCCTAGCTCTTGTAGATCTAGGTTGGATGTTCCTCATTCGCACTTCTGGAACCCTCTGTACTGGCCCATCACTTTGCTCTGTCTTGCTTTCTTGACTCTAAGCTAGGTATTTAGCTCGTGTCCGTAACACCTGACTCATTGTGGAGTCTCAGTAGATGGTAGTTGTAATCTGCGTTTGGAGAAGACTTACTAAGTGTTTCCTGTACCATCTCCTAGCTAGACCCATTGGGGCTCTGGGGTCCTTGGACACATGGATCAGTGGCCAGTGGGGCAGGGAGGGGCCGGTGTAGCCTTGCTGGGGGCTGGGCCCGATGTGGGGGTTGAGGCTGACGCTAGGTCAGCGAGGTCACATTCGTTTCCTTGAGCAGCACCCTTTGGTTGCCGGCCAGGTGGGTGGCGTGAGCCCCTCCTGGTGCATATTCTGGAACCTCGGCAGCTTTGCTTTCTCTATGCAGGTGATAGCCGCCGCCGGAAGTGACGAGAAGTGCGAGCTGGCCCTGCAGAAGGGCGCACGGTGGAGCGTGAACTACAGTCAGGGCAGCCTGAAGGAGGCAGTGCGGAAGCTGGTGGGCGACGGCGGGGTGGACGTGGTCATCGACAGCGTGGGCGGAGACATCTTCCTGGAGGCTCTCCGCAGGTTCGTGACGGGCGTCTTTCTTGAGTGGGTGGACCTGGGCCTCTGCTGGAAACTTCCCAGGCCTGTGCCTTCCTCCCGGCCTTGCGTCTCTTTCGTCTTTGCTGCTCACTTCTGCAGGCGTTGGCACCGACGAGAACAGCTGAGTGGGGGCGTGCAGAGAACTAGAAGCAGAGGGGAAATCAGGAAATGCTTAAATATAGCAACAACAAAATATCCAGTGGGAAAATATCCAAGAAACGACTGCAGACTCTCTAGCTGGCAACATCAAGTGCTTTAGAAATTGTCCATGTGTTCGGTTCAGCTGTGCCGGCCCCCGCTGACTATTTTATGTGCATGGTGTGGGTAATTCTTGAGGGGATCGTTGTTCAGATATCAAATGTGCACACTCTTTTGATCTTGCTGATTTTTGCAGTGGCCAGCAGGGGAGGTATCTCTTTGGTTTGCTTTATTTAAAAAAAGACATCCTCCCTGGCTGGTGTGGCTCAGTGGATTGAGCCCCAGCCTGCAGACCAAAAGATTGCCAGTTCGATTCCCAGTCAGGGCACATACCACGTCCCCAGTTGTGGGTATGCAACAGGCCACTGATCAGTGTTTCTTTCCCTCTCTTTCTCCCTCTAGAAGTAAGTAAATCAGATCTTTAAAAATTAAAAAATAATAAGAAAACTCAATCACTGGAGATTGAGTGGGACCGTCGTCTCTACACCAATCTCATTCTGTTTTCAACCGCGGACTCTGGATTGCTTTTAATATGGGTTCCATTTCTCGTGCCATCCTGGCAAGCACACTTTTGCGGTTCACCTCAGTTAGAGCAGAAGAAACAGAAGCAGAGAGAGCAGCTTGCCCACAGGGGGCACCCAGTTGATGCTCTAGCCCCTGAGAGTCACCCCAGGGTGATGGAGGAGAAGCAAAGGAGGGGGTGCGCCAAGCAAATTAGGGGGTGATGCTCTACCCCCTAATTAAAGGGTGAGCCAGGACCGAGCGCTGCGGGTCCTCACCCTCCCTCCACTTGCCTTCTGTGTAATATAGTATTTCGCCAGAAGCGTCCTGTTTCGCTTCTAAAAAAGGAAAGCAAAAAACCAAACCAACATATACATATTTCATATTGAAGATGTTTACAAACTTCATTTTCATAACTTCTTGCTCAGCATGCACTGAATATGGTTCTTCTCGTAACCGGCGACAGGGAACTCACGTGGATTTTTGTTGATTGTTCAAAACTCTCTAGAGAAGCCTGTAACTTTATGGCGTCTGGAGGAGAGTGTTTGTGAAAAAGCAAATGATGCCTCATTGACGTGTGTGTCGTCCTCCTGCTCCCTGAGTCCAGGAACTTCCCACCGAGCTGTCTCTGAGCACGGCGTACGGAGTGACGTTGGTCCGCACCGAGGGTCCTTCACGGACGAGCGGGACAGTGGAACAGACACTCTTGCTTCTACAGTGGGTTCACTGATAAAACTGGCTACTTCCTCCGCCTCCTACTGTCTTGCTCGTGGCTTATAGTTATGTTTTCCTATTGAAGACTCCAGAGTGGTACCAGATGAGTCACCCCTGGCCGTTTGCAAGGTCAAGAGGAGTTCCCAGCTAGAGGTTTAAGGCGTGTTTCTTTTTTAAAAAGTTGCGCTAAAATATACATAACCTAATGTTTATCATTTGAACTGGTCAGAAGGGGACAGTTCAGGGGCATTAAGTTTACTCACAGTGTTGTGTAACCTTCTCCAACAAAATCTCCGTACCTGTCAAAAAATAATTGCCCCTTGCCCCCTCCCCCTACTCCCTGGCAACCTCTATTTTACTTTTTGTCTCTATGAATTAGCGTACGTTGCTTTTGTGTGCATTCTTCCTTCTTTCCTGTGGCACAAACTTGGTCACGTAGAGTTGCCATGTTGGCCGTTTTACGTGCCCAGCTCAGCAGTACTGAGTGTGTCCCCAGCGTTGTGAAACGTGTCCTGGACTTCTCCGTCCGGCAGATCGGAAACCGTCCTCATTAGGCAACGGCTTCTCACTTCTCCCTCCCGGCAGCCCCGTTCCCCTTTCTGTTTCTGTGCCTTTGGGAGCGCTAGACGCCGCGTAGAAACAGGACCAGACAGTGTTTGTCTTCTTAGCATAATGTCCTCCAGGTTCATCCGTGTTGTAGCAGGCGACAGAACCTTCCCTTTTAAGGCCGAATACTGTTCCGTGCGTGGTCAAGTATGTGCCCATTTGGTTAATCCACTCATCCGTGCACGGACACCTGGGCTGCTCACCCCTCTGGGCCGTTATCCATGGTGCGGATGGGAGCACAGGTGTGCAAACATCTCTTCAAGACCCTGCTTCCAGTTCTCCTGGATGCAGGCCAGGAAGTGGGAATGCTGGATCATGCTGCAGTTCTATGTTTAATTTTTCTGAGGAACCCTCCTGGTTTTCCATGGCGGGGGCACCGTTGTACAATTCTAGCGCCAGTGCCCGAGGGTTCCGATTTCTCCGCAGCCTTGCCAACGCGTCTTCTATTTTCTCTTCTGTTCTATTTAAATGGTTGCTATCCTGATGAGTTGCTTTTCAGATTTCTTTCCCTTCTGCTCTTCCCCTCAGCCTGGCCTGGGAGGGCAGGATCGTGGTGGTGGGCTTTGCCGGAGGAGCCATTCCCTCCGTGCCAGCCAATCTTCTGCTCCTGAAGAACATCTCCGCCATGGGCTTGTATATGAGCCGCCACCTAGACCAGAACTTCCCCGTGTACTACGAGACCCTGTCCTCGGCTCTTCGGTACTGCCAGGAAGGACGCATCCGGCCCCACCTGGGAGCGGTTTTCAAGCTGGAGGAGGTGAGTGAGGTCCTCTTGAGTGAAGTGGTGTCGATGAAGCCGGGGAGTGATCTGGCTTGATCCAAACAGCTTCCGTTTAGATACTATACATCCCCCTTCTACAGACAGAAAAGGTGAAAATGCCACACAGAATAACGGGGTGTCACAGGCCGAGGGTCACCGATGTCTCCCTGTTCTCTGGGTTGGAAGGTGCGAGCCTCGGGGCCCCCTGGGCAGCAGGATCTACGGAGCTGGGTGGTGTCTCAGACAGAGGGAAGTGATGGCCCTTGAGGGAATAATTTGCCGGTGTCGGTGTGAACTCTGAACTCACAGCGTACAAGGCTGAGAAGGCAGCCCTTAACTTGACCTTTGGCTTTAGAACACAGACACTAAAGCACAGCCAGGTGACGAGAGCCGGAGCTCTGGGAACTGAACACAGAACCGTGCCTGGCGTCAGGAGACTGTAGTTCCTCCATCAGTTCCTCTGCAGCTGACGCCACTGGCTGTTCACCCCCTTTCCTCAACCCCTCACAGTCCCGTGAATGTGGCCTAAACTTCCTCCAAAGTGTGATGGCGTACGGGCAAATGCAGAATCGTCTTCAATGTGCATCGGCTAGGCATTCACTCTGAAGTCTTTTTTTCTCTTTTTTTTGGTGGGGGGAGCCACTTAATTTAGTTTAACGTTCACAGAACTGTTCTGGTAGCTCCAGTCGGCCCTGGATGGAGGTGATGTTTGGGTCACGTGCAGAAGAGCTTAGGGGAGCCCAGGCTGTCTCGGGCCAGACCTCACGCTCCACCGTCTTCCCTTCTGACGTGTTCCCCCGTGATGAGGCGCGTTCTCCGCAAACACGGCGCACTCTCTCATCTTTTTCGGTGTCGGCTGAGAAGGTGGCGTTCAGTGGGATACAGAGGACGTGACTGGCCAGCAGGAAACGGGCTGGGGTCTGTTTCCAGCTTTGACCCCTCTGTCTGTGCCCTGGTGGAGGTCCCTCACCGTTCTGACCTTCAGGCACAGGTCTCTAAGGCTGAGGGGCAGGACAGTGTCGGGGCCGTCAGACTGTACTGCGGGAGCCCCTGTTGGGGTTTGGGGGTGGGCAGGTGCAGGCTTGTGCTGCCTGGGCTCTCGGACACCCTCTCTGCTGGGGCGCAAGTGGGAGTTTCTACTTTTTTGTTGATATTTTTCTCTGAAGAAAAGATTTTGTGGATGAAGACTTGAAATGCACCGGTTTTGAGAATGCCTGGGTCCCCTTCCCACTTGTGGCTTTTATCACACGACGTGCAAACTGAGGTTTGCCTTCCCGAGATGCAGGTGACGGAGGAGGGAGGCACCTGGGCAGCACAGGAGTGAGAACACCTGCTGGTGTGAGCTCATCTCTCCATGGAGGCGTTCCAGCCGCTGCTCAGGTGCGATTCCCCACGCTGAAGTTCTGTGTCCTCTTAAACATGATTTAACCATCTAATTACTAGCCCCCCTCAGCTTCCACGTGCCCTTCTTTCCCGTGAGAGCTCTGCATGTAGGATATTTCTAGTTCTTCCCATTCTATGGACCTTCCTGTCATCAGCGGGCTCTCTGAGCCCCTGCTCCCTGGCAGTTTCAGATGCCTCATTCACACACCGTCCATTCTCTCTCTCTCTCTGTCTCTTTCTCTCTCTGTCTCTCTCTGTCTCTGTCTCTGACTCTGTCTCTGTCTCTCTGACTCTGTCTTTATCTCTGGCTCTCTCTATCTATATCATACCAGTCATACTGGTGCCACCCAGCTTCTATTTTCTTCCAAATATGTGGACTTACAGATTTGACCTTGACAGTGGATGTGACTATGAGCACACACCATGGCCTTTTTCGTAGGCACAGGGTATGAGCGTCCATAGTACTCTGTGCTTCTCCACCTGCACAGAGCTACTCCTGTGGAGCGTGACTCCCTGCAGACAGGGGCCCTGTGCTCTCCCCACCGCCGAGTCTCCAGGTTCCGGCAGGGACTCACGGATCTGGTGGATGATGGATTAAGAGTACAAACATCTTTGTGCCTTATTTCCCTGTCTGTAATGGGAGCAGTAATATTACTCTACCTACTAGGGTGGGTGTGAGGGTTACGTAAGATAACACATCTAAAAGCATGTAGGTAAACACTTAGTATATTTTTTTAAACAAAATCTGTAGCCGTTACGCTGAGTTGAGTCTTCAGTCCCCGGCACTGTAACACTTGTGCACTGACATTTCCAAGGGCTGGCTTCGAGAGACAGTCTTTAGATCCTGAATGTTCACTAGAATTGATTGTTTTCCGAAGGCTCACACCTGGGCCACGATCATGAAGGAGCCCCGTGATCTCTGTTCGGAGGACCATGTTTGTTAGCTGCACCGCCGTAGGGAGCCGCCCACTCGTATCTCGACCTGACACGGCACTTGAACCTCGCAGATCCGAACTTGTTTATTATATAAAGGTCGGCTGAGGTCACGACCTGAACAGACGGGAATGAATGGACAGAAATCGTTCAGGTGACGTTGCCTGAGTGTGCCTGTGGAACACACAGTCTTGAAAATCACATCACTCTTTTCGTTTCGACGGTTTATTAAATGTCGCCGGGTGTTCCAGGCTCGGTTTAGGAGCCTCCTGGTGTCTGCCCGCCCCGCCCGCCCCAGAACACCTTCTCTCCTCGTCACACTCTCGCAGTGACGGCCCCGCCCACCATCCCTGATCCCTGCGGTCAGGCTCCCCGGACCCCAGCACCCTCCATCGTTCTGGGCTCTCCCGGCCGAGGGCTGGTCTCAGGCACAGCTTCCATTGTGCCCTCGGGGCCGGAGCTGCCGGAGCTCTGCTGCAGAGGTCTGAGCCGAAGAGCCAGCCTGTGGGGGCTCTGGCTTCAGAACACGCTAAGGCAACCCAGAAGTGTGGGGGCATTCACCCCCGGGACACGCTTTGGCAGATGGAAGACGGGAGATAGTAGAGCTGCTCTTCCTCCTCCCGATGGACCGTTTGGATGTGCAGCGGGTCCCCGCGGCCTCTCTGGACAGGTACCGTGGGAACAGCAACGAGTGTGTGTCCGCCTGTGGCTACGGCCGGTTCGGGATCCAGCACACACACCGCTTAGTGCCCCTCCTGTCTCCTCTGTTCACTTCGCTCCCGCCTCGCCCTGGGCTCCCTGGGCGGCCAGGAAGCGATAGGACACACATTCTGATTAGGGCGCTCTTGCCCCAGGAAGCTGGCTCGACACTGAACTTTAAGCATTTATTTATTTTTGTGTTTAATAATGCATGGCTTGACTTTGTAAAAGACGGGTTTTCTGAGGTATAATTTACACAGAGTAAAATTCGCCGAGTGACAGTCCTGTGCCCACCCCACTACAGTCACGATAAAGAATTGTTCATCGCTCCGAAGAGTTCCCCTGTGCCCTCTGCACTCCCCCACTTCTCTGCACTCCCCCACTTCTCTGCACTCCCCCACTTCTCTGCACTCCCCCACTTCTCTGCACTCCCCCGCTTCCCCGCCCCGGCAGCCGCTGACCTGCTTTCTCTGCCTACGGTTTTGCCTCTGCGGCTCCACCCAGAATCGGAATCATGCCGTCTGCAGCCTTTCGGGTCCGGCCTCTTTGGCCCTGTTTTCGTACGCCTCTGAGGTTCATCCGTGTTTTCGCATATGTCGGTTTATTCTTTTTTGTGGCCAAGTCGTATTTCACTGTATGGAGGCACCACGGCTCGTTTCTTTGTTTATCAGTCAGTAAGATAGTGGATTACTTTCAGTTTTTGATGGTTCTGAGTAAACCTATAACTATTCATGTTTGAGTTTTGTATAGATGTGGTTTTTTTTTTTTTTCAAACTTTAGGGCTGGGATTTCTGGGTCCTATGCTAAGTGTATGTTTAACCTTTAAAAATTTATACAGACATGTATTTAGCTTTACTTGCAGAGCAGGGTTTTCCTCCCTCCCCCTGCACCCTGCCCCTTGCCCCTTTGCCCCCCCCCCCCACCCCACCCCTGTTTCCAGTGGTGGCTAGATGACATCATCGATGAGAATGCCTGTTTTAAGAAGTCTGTGTGGAGTCCTACAGGTCAGGAGTGGTGACGTGAGAGGGGCCAGCCGACTCTCTCAGCAGCTCCCTCCTCCCTCTCGGGGCCTTGGTTCCTGAGAAGCGATTCCGCTGCAACCTCCGTGGCCCGTGATTTCCAAGACGCGGCCGTTCCCACTGCATTCCTGCCAAAGCCCAGGGCTCGAGGTTTTCTGCTGCGTGTGCCCGTGTGTTCCCGACGGGAAACCAGCGCGCCAGCGTCACTGCCTGGGTGGACATTTCAGATTTTGTTTGGACCGACTGGCCACTCTGTGCTTAACGCGTGATAGCCGCCAAAGTGCCTATCAAAGTGGTTGTCTTCTCTTGCTTTCCCACTGACCATAGAGGAGCATGTTCGTACAGGGCACCTGCCAGGATCCATTGTTGTCAGCTGCTTTCTTTGGTGATAGCCGTTCTAATAGGTATGGAGTCGTGTCTGGGTGTGGGTTCCGTTTGCATTTCCCTAGTGAAGAATGACCTGGGGTATCTTTTCACATGCACGTTGGCCGTCTGTATCTTTCTTGAAGAAATGCATTGATTGACTTTTAAAAGCAGATACCGATCTGCTTGCATCAGACTGGCAGGGTGACGAATGTAATTCAACTATGACAGCGTATCAGTCACTCAACGTTTTTACCTTTGAAAAGCAACCCTGCTCGGTCCCAGACAGACTCATTCATTCATGAGTTTTATTTTATTCATCAGACATTCACCGGGCACATTCTGTACGCCAGTCACTAGAAAGCAGGACTTAAGGGATGTGTCTTTCAGTTGGAAAGATCTCAGGACGGAGCTGTGATGGGGAAGAGCTGGTTTCTGACGGGAAGCATGAGTCGGCATAATGTACAGTGTGCGGCACAAATAACACCCCCTTTTATTACAAAATCTTTTATTACAAAATCATATGCATGTAATCCTGTAACACAACAGTATCACACCCAAGCACACCATATTCACATTTTAGGTGAAATGTTCCAACGAAAACTATACATTATGACACCCATATATATTATTACCCAACCAACCACACTCACGCGGGCGTTACTTTTGCCAGACCCCTGTGTTTAGGGAACTATAGGTTACACCGATTATTCCTGCTTGATACGCTAATTAAAACTTCCAACAGCAAAACTTAAAACAAAAATAATATCTTCACCTGGCCCCCAAATTCCAGGAGCGTATCTCCAGGGACAAATGTAATTATGGCTTCATCCACGGCAAGGCAGGGGGCAGGGCTGTGGGCACGGCCTGTGTGTCTGACCAGGCGTCAGTAGGGGGCGCCTCCCTCCCTGAGACGCGGCCTGTACAGAAGCACAGCACCGGAGGGAAATGTCCCTGGGCATCTATCTGAGTTAGCTGTCAGAAGACTGACTGGTCCAGAGCCCCGCACTTTGCTTCTTAGTCTCTCACTGGCAGCTTTATCATTCTTCCTAATTGTACAGTCCTCGAGGTCACTGGTGGTCTGTGTCCCCAGCTCAGACAGAAACCACAGGGTGGGAAGGGACAGAGCTGGGTTATTTTTAGAAGCAGCTACAGTCACGACAGAAGTGGTGGTTGGACCTGGAGAGGAGTGACAGAACACCACAAACAGGAGGTAAAGTAACGCGCGTTCAGAATGCTGAGATTCCCAAGTCATGGAACAAAAAAGTGGTGCTTTCCCCCAATACGATCGCTTAAAGAAGTCAGGTAAACGTGGGCTGCATTTTTATAAAGATTTCTGTGCAAAATGGTTAAAAATACGCATTAGCATCTGAAGTGACAATTTTCTTTTTACGTAACATCTATTTGCAGGAGATCCCTCATTTCTCTAGGATGCCAGACGAAGAAAGGATCAGTATCTCGAATTAGGCTTGTTTCCCCAAGTATTTTGGTTGTCGGGCTGTGACAGATCTCTGGGAACAAGTGACTGCCGGCTGACAGGGAGAGGGATACAGCTGTGCATTACCTGGAGATGTGTCTTGGAGTGATTGACAGGGCAGGGACGAGGGTTTCAAACATCTGCCTCAACCTCTTCCACCTCCTCGGAAGGCATCTAAATTTGTGTAGATTGGGAAGGGCCCTCAGAGCCACAAAACCCCTAAAGACACATGTTTTTGACACCAGCTGCAGATAGCTCGCCATGATTGATTTGTTTGCCTGCTTTTTATTTATTTATGTTTCTCCGGCTTTTGGAGGGGAAGACTTCAAGTGGAAAGGGTTGTTTAATCTTATTTCTCACTTCAAAGCACATTTTCATCTTTGCAAGACCCATCTTTTGCTTTTATGTCTGAATGTCTGTGGACGTCTGTATTTATTTACTTATTTCCTTCACCCTCATCCCCCACACTTTCCCTGCGAAGTTACATAAGCAAATAACAGTGTAGGGTTGTGCCATCGATCTCACTCTGTTCCTGAGTTTTTCACGCGGCGCTTTTCAGCATCCCCCCGTGTCGCTGGTCCCGTACCCAGTTCGTGGTCTCCACCGCTGTGTCGTGGTCTGTGGTGTGTGTGTTCACTGTCCTTTGCAGACCCCTTCCCTGGGACGAACCTCAAGGTCGACACGGTGCCCTGCCGCCACAGTCTGTTTTGCTTTTCATATTTAGATGTAAGCTCTGTTTTGAGTTCATATTTGCGATGGATGCAAGGACAGTGTCTTGCTTCTTCTTTTTTTTTTTTTTTTCACATGTGGTTGTGCAGTGGTCCCAGCACTATTTCTGGAAAAGACGAGCCTTCCTTCATGGCAGCGAAGGAGGGGATCCTTTGGCTCCTTCGTCGGAAGATCAGCAGGCTGAGCGTGTGTGGGGGCCTGTTTTGGGGCTCGCCTCGCTGATCTGTTGGTTCCTTTATCAGTGTCACACTGTCTTGATTACTGTGGCTGCTTTTTAATTCTGCTTTATAACTTGTACTTCTAAAAGTGAGCTGGAGTTAGGTTGCAATTTCAGTTACACCGGAACTAAGAGAATTTTAATGAAAAGAGAATCATTGTAAAATTTTAAACGACCGATTCTTCTGCAAGTGGCCCCAGTCTTTGAAAAGCGAGAACACGCAGACGTGACAGCAGAGTGTATGGGCAGGCCGAGGACTTCTTGCCTGCGGCCATTCATCTGACAACACTGAAAATGATGGCTCAGACAGATACATTCTGAGGTTGGGCTATTCTTAAATACCATCGTTTTCCTTTGAATTTGTCGTGAGTATTTAGTTGGTATTACATGCTTCACTATAAACAGTTTGTTGAAGACACATCTTAATACTTTGGCTATTTGAAGAATTGAACCAGCAACAAATGTTGGTTGGAATATGCATGTGTGCAAGTCTTCCAACACATTTTGGGTTTGTTTGTTTGTTTTTTTTAGGTCAATGATGCTTTCCACTATGTGACGCAGCGCAGGTCCGCGGGCAAGGTGCTCATCTCCCTCAAGTGAAGCCGCGCCGCAGCAGCACGCCCGGCGCGTCCAGATCCAAACTCACCGCCTTCCCAAAAGCCTGGTTTCCCTTCTGTGTTTCCAAAGGTGTCACCGCCTTCTTTATCAACTCAGGCTCAACATCTTTTTTCTTATTCCTCGTCATTAGTGTGATCGTCTACTTGGCTGTCCAGGCGTGGACTCGTTGGAGAGGGAGAGGGTGCTGTCAGTAATTATGCCAGGAGAACGGGTGTCCCGCGCAAACCAGGAGGGGCGGTCACCCCGTTCACAGTACACCGGTGGCCAGGCTCCATCGTCCCCACCTCCAAGATACTGCTCCCCTCTTTTATCCTCTTTAACACTGGGCTCATTATGTCTCATCGGCTAAAGCCAGTGACCTCACTGGCTTTCCTACCTTTCAACTACAGTCCCTCCATCTTGGTTATACATTATTGCCACGGCGACCTTCCCGAAGCACAACCACGGCCACGACTTGTCTCAGAAAACCTGCGATGGCGCACCTTTGTGGACGCGGTGGGGTCCAGGCTCCCTGAGCTGGCAGCATTTCCTGACGGCCACGGTGTCGCCCCTCTCTGCTTTCCAGCCTTACGTTCGGCAGCTGCACCGGTCCCTCAGTAGCCCCGAGATTTCCAGCCCCCCCTCCTCTCTGTTCAAGCAGTTCCCCCCACGCCCTCATCTCTGAGGACCAGAAGCCCTCCTGACCCGCAAGACCTGTGTCTGCAGTGCGCCTCTCCCCTCAGGGGGGTGCTCCTCTCTCCTCTGCCCCTGACCCTCCTGTAGCTTCTCCCCGGGATCTGTCGCACCACAGGGAGCAGCATGGCTGCCGAACATGTGGGTCTGAATCCCAGTCGCCCCGCTTTGGAGGGGGCTCCTGAGGGTCTCTGAGTGTCCATTTTGCTCACTGTCATGTAGACATTACTGCCTCCCAGGGTGGTTGTGAGCAGCATACTCAGAGATTGGGCAAGGTGATTAGCAAATGCAGGGATTAACAAATGCTAGTTACTTTCACTTCCTTTTTAAAAAATATTTTATTTTTAGAGAGAGGGGAAGGGAGGGAGAAAGAGAAAGAGACAGATACGAGAGAGAAACATCGATTGGCTGCCTCTGGTCCGTGCCCTGACCCAGGACTGAACCCACAACCCAGGCATGTACCTTGACCGGGATTTGAACTGGTGACCTTTCGCTTTGTGGGATGACGCCCAACCCACTGAGCCACACCGGTCAGGGTTGCTTCTTTATTTTCCACTTTCCCAATATAGCACAAGTTCCTGCAGAGCAGGTGCCATGTTGGATTCCCCTTTGTACCTCCTGTAGTACCTAGCACAGTGAGTTGTGCTTGGTAAATAATAAATCAGGTTGAATTAGAATTACCTGCATGTCTTAAATTGTAGGATTAAATTAAGAATAGGAAACAAGCCAAACGTCCATGGACAGATGAATGGGTCACCAAAGTGTATGTCCAGACAATGGAATATTAGTCAACCCTCAAAAAGGAAATTCAGATACGTGCCACCACATGGGTGGACCTTGGAGACATTATGCTCGGTGAAATAGGCCAGCCACCCAAGGACAGGTACTGTAGGACACTGTTTATAGGAGGTGCCTAGGGTAGTCAAATTCAGAGAGACGGACAGCAGAGTGGGTGGTGGTCGCCAGGGGCTGGGCCGGGGAGGGGAAGGGGGGAATCGCTGTCTCACGGGGACAATTTCGGTTTGGGAAGATGAGACAGTTCTGGAGGTAGCAGTGGTGACAGCTGTACAACAATGGGAGTGTACTTACTGCCATTGAACTATTTACTTAAAAATGGTAAGTTTTAGGTTATGTATATTTGACCACAATATAACATGTTAAAAAAAACACACAATTTATTATGCTCACAGCCAGGTGAACCCATTCAGAGAGGAGAACTGTGTGTGTGTGGGCAGGGGGAGAGGGGATGGAGGGCCCAGCTGGGCTCCACCCGAGCCCCGCTCTGTAGGGGGAGGGCCTGAACCCTCGCTGGGGCTGGGCACCATCGCCCCCCCACCTCTGTTGACCACTGATGCCTGAAAAGGAGGAGCTTGGGGTGGGATAAAGGCAGGTGCCTGATACCACAGAGGTGGGCAACTTCTAATTATTCTCCACGGGTGGGGCATCCTGTTCCAGTAAATGTGGCAAGAGGCTTTCTTTTCTGAAAAGCACCTCAGGCCATCTGAAAACGTCTTCTTAGTGTCCTCTCACCAAAAGGAAACTTTTGGAGGAACTGAATTGCAACACAGGGAGCAAACATTTGGGGGAAAGAATGTGAAACCGAGCGATTCGGAGCAATTAGCAGAAGAATGGGGGAGGGAGGGGACAGACGGCAGGGAGGCCGCCCACCTGTCCGTGCAGGCCCCCCTGGTGCTTCCCCCTGGGTCAGAGCACCGCTGGGTCTCTTCCAGGCCCAGTGGCCACAGCTGAGCCCCCGGGGCCGCTGTGCCCTGTGGCTCCACTTGATGACAAGCCACTCCTCGCCTGCCTCCCCCCAACCTGCCTTCTCCTCAATGCGAGCTCTTGGTGTTTAAGTGAAAGTTGGTTTTCAAAATTACCAAGACACCAACTTGGAGGCTAATTTTAGAATTTCCTGCCACCCTCCGGGATAATTGAAGACACGCCGCCGGAGAGACCCCGGGGGAGAAGGAGGTCCAATCAGGCCTGGCAAAGCGTGCAAGCCCAGCGGGGGGCGGCCTGTCCCACGGCGCGGAGCTGATCAGAGGGTGTCACTAGTAATAAAGATCGATGGTCCCCAGCTCACTGCCGTCAAAGTGACTCAGATGGAGAGAGGCGGTCATGCAGGAGAGCGAGGTTCTTCAGGTTTCACAGGTGCTGCCTGGAACTCCCGATGGCCCGTCCTCCGCGCACCCGCATTCCTGCTCCCCTGGAATAATGTGATTTGAAAGCATTTGACTCACATTTTAGTCATCTTTCGGTTGTTCCACCGTCTGAGCCATTAGTCTGAAAAAAGAATCGGTGGAGCTCCAAGCGGCAGCATTTATTCTGCATTCACAGACTCTCGCAGCTCACCCTGGAGGCCGGCGGGGGGGGCGGGGGGCGGGGCGGGCCCCACTCCCACACCTGCCTCCCCTTTCCTGTAACGGGCTGTGGACCCCCCCCACCCCCAGCCACCCAGCCGAGGTGCAGTGCCATTAGCTTCGGAATAATCGTGTCTGCACATCGCCGGTCTGCCTGTCCTTGCTCCTTCCTGTCATCTGCTGGCTCTAGGCAGCCATCCTTTCTATCTGAGCCACAGCAAGGACAGCAAAAGGTGTGTTATTTGGCCACTAAAGGAAAAGAAAGGTGTCTTCACGGGATCACTTCTATTTAACAAAGGAAAAAATCTAAGTAAAGTAGGAAAAACCCATGCTATTCTTGCTGTTACGTTTCCTTCCAGTACTGTGTAAGTAAATCCAAGAGCAACTATTTTTTCAAAAAAGGTTCCGTACAGGTCGTGTGGGGGGAAGGCCTCCACCAACACCCGGGGCTTGTCCGATTGTTGGCTTCCACTTGGCGCCTCCGTCTCAGCTCATCGCCGGACTGAGGAGCTGGGCTGGGAAGGCTGCTCTTCGGGACTTGACCCTTGTCGGGGAATCGTATACAAAGTAGCTTTGTGCCCCCTTTTTTGCTGTGTGTAGAGACAGTGTCCTGAACCTCAGTGAATTGCTTGGCTCTTCGAAAAGTGGTATTGTTAAAGTAATGACAGCAACCTCGCAGGGCCATTGGGGAAAAGTCAGGCCGGAGAGAAGATTATGAGCAGAGAGCACCCTGTTTCTCTGTGCCCTCTCTCCTTCCCATTCTCCAGGGGAACCGCTGGAAGCAGCTGGCGTGAGCCTCACAGACCCTGTAAAGCACATATAAGCACAGGTGCACACTCAGAGGTGGTCGGTGCGTGTTTTAAAGACACGTGGGTTTTAAGAACCGCCGATCACTGTATGCATAGTGTCCTGTGACGCGCTGAGTTAAGGCATCTTGGACATCATTCCATATCAGTAAAGATCCTCTTACCTTGATTTTTGTAACAGTTGCTTGCTATTCCCTAGGGAGGGCGTTAGGCATATACGACCATCTCCTTCGTAGTGGGTCTGTCTGCTCATATATTTAACAAACGTTTATGGATGCGCATTTACATGCTGAGCTCAGCACGGCACAGGGAATGGGACGGCAAGCAAAGGCGAGACGTCCGCTGGGGAGACAGATGGTCACTAAACTCACCGACCACGCCAAGCCAGTGCCGGGCGAGCTGTGACAGGGAATTTAACTCGGGGAGGTCGGGAAAGGTTTCCCTGAGGAAAGACCCTTGAATCTCGATCTGAAGGTGGAGCCTTCCGGCGATCTAATTCTGGGGGTTTAAATGGGGAGGCATGTTCTCAGCCACCGGGGCGAAGCCAAGCACGGTGAGTGGGAGGTGCCGCAGGGAGGCTGCAGGGGCTGGGGCTGGAGGCGGGGACCAGACCAGACCCGGACCCGTGGGCCGTTTAGGGGTGCTTTGCCTTTACCCTAACAGCGACCCGACACCACTGCAGTGTTCTAAGCAGAGTGGATTCGGGGTGGCACGACCAGAATGGCATTTTTGGAAGAACTCCTCCGGCTGCATGTGGTGAAGGACTGGAGAGGAGTAGACCAGTGGGGAGTCTGGGAAAGTCCAAATGAGAGATGATGGTGTCTGGGGCCGAGAGGTGCGGGGGGAGGGGGAGAGAAGTGGACTGGACAGGGAGCTATGCAGGACGGAAAAGCCGAAGGACTGGGTGTTGGCTTGGATGGGGGCGGGGCTAGGGGAAGGAAAGGTGCGGCTGATGCCCAGATTCCTGGATAGGTGTTAGAGAGGAGGCCTGTCCAAGGAGAACTGGGTTTCAGCCGAGAAGGGGGATAGGATGGGGCAGAACTTTGTACACATTGAGACATCCAGGAGATACCGAGTACGCAGTTTTATATCCCAGACACCGACGTGGGCGTCGTTTGCAAGGAGGTGATATCGGTACCCAGGCTGTGGCAGAGAGTTCCCCTGGGAGCATGCAGTGAGAAGGCAGGAGGGACTAGATGAACCGTAACCTTTTTTTCTCTCAGCAGAACCCTAGAATATTTTGTGACTGCTGTGGACCACTGAAAGGCTTGGAGGGGGTCGTTTGGTGATTTAAAATACATGACAAGTGGTTATAAGGAAGGTTGCACTGCAGAGCCAATAGGACATCGTCCTCTCGATGCAGGGCCAGCCACTGAGGCCCTAATTGCAGCTGTTTGACCTTGGGCCAGACTCACCTTCTTACATTTCTCATGTGAGAAAATGAGGACAATAATACGTGCTTCCCACCTCGCAGAGTCCATGTGAGGGTCAAATGAGATCATGTATGTGAAAGCACTTTGCAAATGGTCACTTTCATAATAGACGACACGGTTGCTTAGTGCCAGTGTGCTCAAATGCATTTCAGAGTTGAAGAAAGATGAGTATTTTTTTTTTTCAGCCTAGGCTGGGCCGACATGGAACAAAATATGGTTGGATTTTTAAAGTATCTCTAACAGCTCTACATTTTATTTTAGCTGAAGTCATTGTGCCTTTTTATACAGAATAATGGACAAAGTGATAGGGGGCCCATGAGCTGATGTGTCTCAAAGACATCCCGAGCCAGCCGAGGTCCACAGAAGGGCACTTAAATTGATGCAGAGGGCCGAGGGAGTTCTTTGTGAGGGATGATAAAAGAATTAGGGCTCTTCATTCCAGAAAGACACAGGCTAAGAGGAGGATGTGATTGAAATTTATAAACTAATGGAAATCATAGGATAAAAATATGAACGCATTAAGTCCCAGAGCACAAGTGCGAGGGACAACTTTATGGTTTTAAAGAAATAGTTTTAGGGCAAAGTAAAAATAGCACTTCTTGACACAGGAAGGGTAAGCATGTGCAAGTTATTACTGTCAAAGTCTGCAAGGACTCAAACCAAATATTAGAAGAGAAAGATTTATATTGTGTGGAGGGGAGATTCATAGGTGATTATAAAGTGAAATTAAGACTCTTTGGGTAACCTTCCCCAATCTTGGGAGGTGACAGCGTAGGGGTGACCATTCAGCTTCTTGCCCCTGTTTGGCACCCTTGTCTGTCTGGACTCCTGAGTGGGTGTGCTGGAGAGGACAGAGCACAGAATTTGGGCTCAGAAGGTGACCTCTCCGACCTTAGAGAATCCCCTCTTTTTTAGGTGCTTCCGTTTCTTTTTTCTTCTTTTTTTAAAGATTTTATTTATTTATTTTTAGAGAGGGAAGGGAGGGAGATAGAGAGAGACAGAGAAACTTCAATGTGCGGTTGCTGGGGGTTATGGCCTGCAACTCAGGCATGTACCCTGGCTGGGAATCGAACCTGGG